GGTCCTTGCTGATTTCCTCCCCACCCAAAGTTAGGGTGATCCTTCCATCCGGGGTTGTACGTGTTGGAGTACGGGTTCCTCTGTTGACGGTTGGTGTCATGCACATAATTCAGAGACTCCGTTTCTTCTATGCGTTGGTCGGGAACTTGGACTGTGTGGACTTGCTGAGTCTGCAAAGCCGCTACTTGCTTCGATAGTTTTTCTAACTGGGCCGTGATTGCAGTGACCCCGTCTAACTCCAAAATTCCTCCTGTCTTGACTGCTCCGCTGTTCGACCGGTCCGATGCCCGCATGTATTTATTTCTAGCGATTCGCTCCAAAAGCTCGTATGCTTCATCGTAAGTCAAACTCATGAACATTCCTCCAGCTGCGGAGTCGAGCACGGTTCTCGAGTTGTCTTGTAGCCCATCGTAAAATATTTGCAGTTGGCGCCACTCTTGAAGTCCGTGATTCGGGCACCTCCTTACTAGCTGTTTGAACCGCTCCCACGTCTCGAATAGTGCTTCACCGGCTTCTTGTATGAAATTTTGAATTTCTCTCCGGATTCTCTCAGTTTTTGTTGGGGAGTTGTATGTGTTCATGAAAAGTTGTGCTAGCTGGGCCCAAGACGAGATGGAATGCGGTGCGCGAGTTTGTAACCATTCTCGGGCTGCGCCTTGTAAGGAATGCTTGAACAGGCGGAGTTGCAGTGCTTCGGGTGATACTCCGTTCATTTTGTGCGAATCACACGTCTCGAGAAAATTGACCAAGTGGAGATGTGGATCTTCATGAGCCAATCCGCTGAATAAACCATTGTTTTGAAGCATCGTGAGGAGTCCCGCTCGAATCTCGAAATTGTTGGCTTCAATGGGGGGCTGCTGGATGCTCGATTGAAACCCATTAAGCGTTGGAACGGTGTACTCATGCAGTGCTCGTTGACGAGGTGGTGGATTAATCAGCTGGCGTTGCTCTTGCTCGTTGACGATTTCTCTTGCCACATTCGGTGGGCGCCTTTGGTCACCTTCTCCACGATTATCCTCGTCCTCCATCGTTGCCGGATTGTTTTGGGCTAACCGTTGATTTCTCCTGGCTTGCCTAAACGTTCGCTCAATTTCGGGGTCAAGAGGTAGCAAGCTCGTGTCGTGTCCTCTTCGCATAAAAAGTACCTAAAAAAAATAAAAAAAAAATAATTAAATAAAACAAAAAAAAAATTGGCTGAAGTAAGAAAAATTGTTCAAATTTAATATTAGGATAAATAAATAATTTAGCCGTATTCCCCGGCAACGGCGCCAAAAACTTGTTGGGTGCTAAATACCCACACGCAAGTGCACGTATCGCAAACAAGTAGTAAAGTAGACTCGTGAGAGTCGGATGTCGATCCCACAGGGAATACGCAAATTATTTAATCCTAAGTACCAAATTCTAACAATTGTTATTTTTATCCAGCCTACGCAAGGTTGTCAATTTAATTAACTAAATAAATTAAAATAATTAAGAAAGCAAGTAATTACGAGAAAATATCAATAATAAACGGATCTAGGATTTTATCTTCCCCCTATGCGATAATTCTTCACCCAATTAATCTCCTATTATGCAAGTTACGATTCCCGATTATTAACCCAAGACACGAAATTATTCATAACCAGCTGTCGCTGCGCTATAAACCTATTATTCATAAAAGATTCACTATATGTCTATGCAAACCTAATATAAATAAAGCATTAAATAACAAGTCTCGTAAACGGCTACCTAAGGTATTATCTGTATGTCTACGATAATACATGCAATCAACACACGCATTCGGTGAAAAACTACTCGAAGGCTCTTCTATCCCTGTTCTAATTATTAAAACGATCTGTCAATCAATTCTAACAATAACAAATAGCAACATAAGTTAGCTACGCTCATGCACTAAATACGATCAAGATCGAAGAAATAATCGAAGAATTAAACTTGCATAAAAGTAGAAAAATAGGTTCGAATCACCACATAGGGTTCCAATAAAATCCTAGAATAAAAACTTAGCTACTCATGTTCGTAACGACAAGCATAATAAAAATATGAAAGTTCATAAAAATCGAAGAATAAAAGTAAAAGGAAAACTCGGATGAAGATTCGTCAAGTCTTCGTCTTCGTTCTCTTGCTCGTGTGTAGAAAGATGAAAGATAAAAGATAGATGATAAAAAGATGATGCCTAATTGTGTGTCTGACTTGGTCTTATATAGGGTGAAGAACTTGGGGAAGAAGGCAGTTTCCTTGTGCAATTAAAATCCCTTTTCTGCGCAATTTCGGAGTCTCGGACGGGGGTCCCACGATTTGCACTAAAACTGGGACGGGGGTCCGAGCTTTAAATCTTCAGAATTTTGATTTTTTCACTTTTGGCCCATATTTTCTCCAAAATTGCAGTTTTGACCCCATACTTTTCCAATTCTTCAATTTGTCCCTAAAATACAAATAATAACCAAATTAAGCACCAATTATCGTAAAAACACATCAAAAGCTCCAATTAAAAGGTACAATTAAGTGTATAAATATACACTTAACAGTTATTTTGTCCTTTAATTTTGAAAGATAATAAACTAATCGCATCGAAAAAAATTAAATTATTATGTATTTACTTGCCTTTTTTCCAAAACAAATTGAAACATAAAAAAGTTGAAATAATTTTTGAAAAATATTTTTGGAATTGGAATTGATATTCAGATTTTGAAATTTTTGAAATCAAAATTGGAGATTGTTTTACACTTTAAAAAGAAAAAAACTTGAAAATCCTAATTATATTATTGGCTTAAATACAGTTACCACCCCTAAAGTATGAGCCTTCTAACAGTTACCCACTAATGTATTGAATGTATCAGTTTCCCCTTATGTTCGTAACCTTAACGGTTGTTGAGCTGATTTTGTTGACGTGGTATTAATTTTTGCTGGGAAAGTAGCGGGTGGAGTTTTTATACCAATAGTACCCCTTACGTACATAACCATTTTTCTTTCTTTTTTTTCTTTTCCTTTTTTTTTTTGGAGAAGGTTTCAATTATGGTTGAAAGCTGGATGGATCGGATTGAAATTTATCATTTTCGGAAAACTTCCAAAAACAATCGGAAGTACAAAATCAATTCCAATCCTAATTCCTAACCTTTCGGACTATAAAAAATCATTCCAGTTCCAATTGCCCCGGAAATTTCAGAATTTTGAAAAAAAATAAATAAAAGATCAAATAAGTTTTAAAATTTCAAAACTTAGAGGAAATTTTCTGAAAATTTCATAATTTTCCAAAAATAAGAACATCAACGTCGATAAAAGTAAAACTAATAACTACTAAATTCCAGTTCAAAAAATAATAAAAATAAACCAAGTCATAATATCTAATAAAACTTCTAACAACAATAAATATGTCAAAATCCTAAAACAAAACATAAATCAAATTATTGTTTCAGAAAATAAATTAAAAAAAAAAAACTTAAAATAAGTATTATATAATATATATTATTTATAGGTGTATTTTTTGGAAGAAAATCGGAATTTTTTGGAGTTAATTTTGGAAATTAAATCGGATCGGAAATCGGAAATTTCAATTTCATTTACATAATTCCAATTTCAATCCAAAATTATCGTAAAAATTAGGAAATTGAAATTTTGGAAGTAAGAATAAAAAAAATTGTTGCAAAATCGTAAAAGTTTGTTTTAACATTGTATGCTTCATTGCAAGGCTAATTAGTTATTTCACTTATTAGTATGCTTCATTGCAAGGCTATTTAGTTATTTCACTTATTAATGTAACGATGTTAATTTTAACATTTAACTAAACTCCTAAGGGCATCTCCAATCATGGGAGGTAAAAATTGGCATGCTATACTTATTTTAGCATTTAAATAGTGTTTTAACAAGTTAATTTTTTGTGCATTCTCTAACCATACCATCTATAATTTAACATTTTATAATATTTTTATTACATTTGCTATTTGAAAAAGTGACGTAGTGGGTAATCAATTTTAATTTTATCACTTTTGGGAGATGGAGTGTGGGGTTGAGTATATTATTTTAATATACTTTTATATAGCTCTTGTGAATAGTAAGTGGTATATTTAGCATTTGGAATTTTGGTTTTAGCTAATGAGGTAAATTATACCTCTTCCTTTGGAGCATGATTTTTTGATTGAAAATGCTAAAATTAGTAAAATTTAGCTTTTACCGCTTCAAAATGAACAAGGTTGGAGATGCTCTAAGGGGGTAAATGGTACATTCAATACACTAGGGGATAACTGTTACAAGGCCCATACTTCTGGGGTGGTAACTGTATTTAACCCTATATTATTCAATCGATCTAATTTCTATCAATTACTCATTTCCTTATAAAAACATCAAATCAAACAAAGTTGATTATATTTTTTTTGTTTTGAAATAAATATGTAAAGTATTGAAAATTTGAGAAGTTTTTAAAATATTTTATAAAATTAAAATTGGATGAAATAAGAATTTTGAGAATTTTAAAAATAATTTTGACTGCTAAAGAAAGAAACTAAAAAAAAAAATCTTACATTTTATTTTTATTTATAATAAAATATTTCAAAATATAAGTTAAGGAAAATTAAAAGACAGCAAGAAAGAAAAATCAAAATCTAAAATATCATGATATGCTGAGTTTGCTTTATTAATATCTTGCATGAAATTAATATAGGCTGCATTTTGACATGAGATACATCATTTTCGAGTGTACTTAGCCAACTTTTAAATTATAAAAGCACCAGATTTGTGTTAGTTCTAGGGTGGAAATGCACTGAATCTATAAAGCCAGATAAATAAGTGTTTACTTGATTCATTGAAACATTGGGTATAAATATTCATTCAATTAAGAATTGAAAAGTTATTATATCTCGGTGAATAGAATTATTTATAGAACAAGAAAAAGCTTTTCTTATTGTCAAAACAACAAGTCATATTTAAAAAATTAGAAATTAATAAGAAATCTTCTTTCTACTTGTGTTCAACAAAGAACATAAATGGCTAGAAAAAAAAAACAAGAATTTGTGTACTGCAAGTAACACCGGAAATCCTTCAATACTTACAAGGGTGGCCTAACATTAATTTTGCCTATAAGAGGAATTTAATTAGCAATCTAATATTCCACTAAGAATCTAAGATAGTAGATATTTTAGACACTAACGAATAACCTTATTCAAATGAAGATCACCTATTGAAATTAAATATAAAAAGCAGATGATATGGAAATATTCATCTGTTTAAATATTTTCAACTTTACCTGTAATTCCCTGTAACCAAAGGGCGGCGTTGTCGTAGTCTATTGGTTGAATCGCGGTGAGACGGTTCAACAATGTCATCTTTATTTAAAGATGTTCTACTCTTCTTTCTATTCACGGAAGCTTCTTCAGTTTTGGAAACCCTCAATGCAGCCATCATTTGCTGAGCTCGAGAACTATGCATGTTTTTCTTGATGAAAGTAAAAGCCTGCTTTGTTTCCAAATCATCCACCATAATATCTTTCTCCAATCTCCTTTTGCAACCCATGCGCTCCGCCAACCGTGGAATGTTGTATCCTTTATCTATAACGAAACAAACAATTCATTGTCAGCATAGCATAGCATAAAATATACACACTTGTTAACCTTAAAAACGAATAAGGTTAGTGAATTTACAAGGTGGATCTTCTCTGTATATCTCTGGACTCGGAGATCTCTGAATATCTTTTTCATATTTTGCAACCACATCAACATTCTGAATCTTCTTAACATTTTTAAGTACGATTGGGGAAATCTTTTTCTGGGCTTGGCCAAAAGAAACATCTGAAGAAGCAGTAGTCGGAGTAGGACAGTGTACTACTGGTGTTGCAGATTTTCTATGCAAATTTTCTGCAGTTGCAATGCTCTCAGATTTATTCTGTATTCGTCCTATATCTTTAACCACACTTGTGTGTATGCTCTTACGTTCCGATCCAGTAATCTCGTGACTCACTTCATTGGAATCACAACTAAATTTGTTGTTTGGCAAAAGAGGCGACACGGTTGGGGTTTCTACGTTATCCAACACTGATCTCGGAGAAGTTTTCGATATAGTTGAATGGACACAAGATAATTGAGTTTCCATGAAACTTGAAAACCAGGGTGTGCCCTCTTTTGCATAGAAGAGAATGTATGCCTCTTGTGACAGCACATAATCTTCATGGACCAGCACAACCTACAAAATCAAATTCATTCGACACTCAGTACTTAACAACAGCCAAGTGAAAAAAAAGGGGTGTATGCATGTATACAAATACACATAAAAAATGTCGAACATATTACCCTAGAATCATCAAACTTGCACCACACATTGGGGGACAATCGAATGAAGCAGTAGTAGTGTCCAGATGTAGGTGTCGATCCAATATGCACTATAACAGCATACAATACGTACTTGAGATCTGCCTGCTAAAACACAACACCCATAAGCAGAGTCAAGAAACTTCAAAATCTGTTTACAAAAATTCAGATGTTCGGACAGAATAAGCAGTAAGACAAACTTACATCATTTGATTTGCCACTATCAGTGAAAGGAAGCAAGTCCAATTCTAATGGAAATGCCACATGTTTATCAATTTTCTGCACCCAACAGCCGTCGTTCTCGAATCTCTTCAAATGAAATACAGCCACTGAAGGGGCCTTATCAAATGAAAGCTGCTTCTCAACAGATACCAACTCCTTACAATTTTCGCATGTAACCTTGTCCTCTGGATCGTCAATTTTTTCAACTTTTGTAAATGACTGAAGAGCTGTTACAAGGTCGTCTGCATTCTCAATCCCCAAACTCGTGTCAATCAAAGGCTCATAAGTGTCGGAACAGTGGTCACAGTTACAACACTTGAGCTGCAATCGAAAGAAACATGTAATTACATATCGTACATTTTCCATTGATCATATAAAATATAACTACACATGATGGATATTGTGCATGACAAACAAACAAGATACGTAGAAATATATAAAGATTTCAGAAGTGAGCTCATACTTTGCTAACAAGACGACCCCCAAATACTTGTTGCACTAGGTTACCAGTTGGTGAAGAAGTGTATTCTTTACGCTGTGAATCGTGACAGCTTTCAAGCTTATCCAAGAAGCACTGAAGAAATTCATGAGCATCTTCCTGTTGGAACTTCTTGAAACTTGAAGAGAAGTCTGATAGTTTTGCAAGTTAAGGGATCCCAAAGCAACATAAAGGTTATTGAAACACAAAAAACAAAGCTACCGGGCATAATAACTTGTATAACACAATAAAATAACAGCTCATCAGTCAAAATGATAATGTCGGACCACATTACTGTGTTCCGTTGAGCCAAAAGACACTAACGAGTATCTGTTGTAGCATAGATATTATTAAGCGAGTGTTGCCAGTGATGAAAATATTTGCATATATGACAGAGATGCAAGAAAGGATACAGCTCAAGTTGTTGGTGAAATACGATGGTGAGACGATCCTGTTTGCCAGTGAAGACTTGACAAGCTCCCGCAGAGCACATAATGTACAAAACCCTTGTTCATCGCCTGTAAGTAATTCATTGTTACAAAAGCATTTCACTAAAGATCAGCAAAATAACTACAATGGCAAGACAATAACAAATTGCCTTCAAAATAATGTTCACACAGATGCACCAACAGTTCAGATATATATGATATGATCGCACAGTAAATTCAACGTTTTCTTACCAACGAAATATAATTCGATATATAAGTTATCCAATAGCCCTCAAAACCCAAAACAATGATTCCTATAAATATCCCAATACTTAGGGTCCTAATAACCTACTATACTAAGGTACCAAACAAGTAAAAAAGGAATAATGCATCCTAATCTTAATAGTAGCTATGAAATAATCATGCACACACCGCACTAAGTATTGTACGAAAATGAAAGTTGGCATAATGACTTACAATAAGAGTTCAGTGAATGCGGTTCCAATAGAATGCTACGAAGAAGCGGAACCGAGTGCATAAAGCACTGCAACACTGAATTTAGAAAGCAAGTATTGCCTAAATTGTCCAGCCCTGCCCCCTGCCAATATTCACATATCATATCATCAATAATAATAAATTACAAAAAAAAAAACATAAATATAAAGATAAAGTTACTAGATCTACTCAATTATATAAATAAAAGAGCTCATAGGGTTACAGTGTACGCAAAACGCTAAAAAGACAATCCCAGCACCGATTGATACAGTTGTTTCGATTAAAAAGAAAACGAATAGAATAGAACAGAGAATTACTGTGATAGCAGCAGGCATGTTGTCTTGGGAGACCGGGTCTTCTTCTTCTACAATTCCATCAGAGAGAGAGTTATCCAAATCATAAAATTCAGGCTGAGATTTTACACCCGAACAGAAAGCATTTGCTGCAGAATGATTATCCTCTTCGGTTTTATTCTCATTCTCAACTTCCATTGACAGAGCTGCTTCGTCGCTAATTTCGGGGGAGCCCATTTGTTTGATGCTCAAGGATTTTGGCAACTAGAGTTTTTTCGAGGAGGAATCGGAGTGCTTCCTGTGATTCGATATCTGTTCAATTTAGGGTTTTGGGGGGAATTTTTTGGGGGAAATTTTTGGGAGTGGAGGGAAAACAATTAGTGGAAAAAATGGAGGGATTTTAAAGAAGAGGCGGGAAACAGAACTAGATATTTGGTGTTGGCGGGCCATATATATACATAAAATAGAATTATAATATAATTAGAATTTGAAACGTGCACATGGAAACAAACGATTCACTAGTTATCTTTGAATTTTGATTGAGTTGACATTCAAATCATTTTCACACTTTTCTAAAATATTCTATTATTACCATAAAAAAAATATATATATTCTATTATTAAGTTTTACAATTTATTTGTAAAATTAAAATTTGTAATTTCTACAATTATTATTTCATCATTACAAGAAAAAGTTATATATACTCTATACAAGGTTTTAAAAAGTGGTTATCGAGTCTGGGGCAGTTAGGGACCGCCACACCATAAATCAGCGCGGCAGTGATTAATCGGAGATGAATCGAAATAATCGGTTTTTAAATTTTAATATAATATATTTCTAAATATTATTTGTAAATACTCAAAATATATATTAAAAAAATATGTAAACATGTTTTACCCCTACCTTATTTTCCTCTTAATTGAAAAAAAAATAGATATTTTTTCCGATTTTTGACCCGACCCGATGTATCGGCTTGACCCGCCTCAAAACGCCACAAACCGTCGTAAACCGCCTCACCGTCCAAAAACCGATTTTTCAAACCGCCTCATCAATATCGTAAAGGCTTACGATCGCCATCGATATGGCGGCCCATAGACACGGCCACGGGGCAGCGCGGGTCCGGGTCCGTCCGAGTTTGAGGGGACCCGAAACCGACCCGTTGGGAGGCGGGTCCGGGTCCAGGTCAGGGTTAGGTCCAAACCGATTTTCCAATTTTTATTTTTTATTTTTCCAAATGATTACAAAAAAGAAAGAAAAAAAACTTAAATTGAAACTTAAAAAAAGTTGAAATTAACTTTAAATTCAAAATAACAAAAAAACAAATAACCAAAAAAAAATTGAATTTATACGCTAAACAATTTAAAGAAAAAACACTAAATTAGGGGTTCGAGCCCAAGTGTCATAAGTGGTTTAATATAGTATTAACCACTCAGGTAAAGTAATTTATTATTATAATATTCCTAGTTATAAATATATAACTATAAATAACACTGTAATGATTTAAATAATTTTATAATTAATGTTTAATAAATTATTAATTCTCATGTTCACTATTATTAATATTAAAAATATCAACCAATAACAAATGCATATATATTTAATTTTGAAAAATATAAAAAATTACGATTTAATTTAAAAGGAAGAATGATTTTTTTTTTTTTTTGAATTTTGAATTTTGAAAATTTCTCAATTATTATTTTCACTTATAAATACCCATAATCCAATCTTCACAACTTTCACTTTATTTAGTTTATGTCTCAAGTTCTTAATCATTTCATTTTTTCTAAAAAAAATTAGTGTTTAAATTCAATTTTTTTGTAATTTTGAATTTAAAGTTAATCTCAAATTTTTTTTCTAAGTTTCAATTTAAGTTTTTTTTCTTTCTTGTAATTATTTGGGAAAAAAATAAAAAAATAAAAAAGAAAAATTGGAAAACCGATTTGGACCCAGACCCGACCCGGACCCGCCTCCCCACGGATCGGTTTCGGGTCCCGGAAAAGTCGGACCCGGACCCGGACCCGACCCGTCTCGTGGCCGTGTCTACCGCCGGGTAGACCCGTCAGGTCCCGAGTCCAAAAAATCGGGATCTGAAACCGATCCGTACTTGGTTGGGTCCGGTTCCGATTTGGTCCCTTCTTTATTCTTTTTTTTTTCCTTTCATTTTTTTCTTTCTTTTCTTTATTTATTTTTCATTTCTTATTTTTTTAATTTTATTTTATTTTAGTTCTCTTTTTTTTTTGCTCTTTCTTTTTTCTTTATTTATTTTAGTTTTTTTATTGGTTTCTTCTATTATATTTTAGTTTTCTCGTTTTCTTTTTATCTAATTCAATATTTTTAATTTAAAATAGTAATTTTATTGCAAACATTCTATTAATTATATTAACATTACATGTTATTATATTACAAAATAGTTTTAGAAAATGACAATATAATTAATAACCTAATAATAGCACAACATTATTATTATTATTATTATTATTATTATTATTATTATTATTATTATTATTATTATTATTATTATTATTATTATTATTATTATTATTATTATTATTATTATTATTATTGTTATTATTGTTATTGTTATTATTGTTATTGTTATTATTATTATTGTTATTATTATTATTATTATTATTATTATTATTATTATTATTATTATTATTATTATTATTATTATTATTATTATTATTATTATTATTATTATATGGTGAGAGTGGTGATGGAAAAAATGGAAGAAAGAAATTGATCGATTGGACGAGAAATGGGTTGGGGTCGGGGTCGGGGGAGCCCCGGGGGGCCCCCCGTCGACAGGAGATGCCCTAAGAATATGGCAAAAAATTATAGAACCACTAGTTATTCGTAAGTTTCTGCCTCATTTAAAATCCGTGTCTAGCGGCCGATATATCAATCACCACGACGACTGATATTTAAACCACGACTGATATTAAAACACTGCTATAATATAAACGTACA